CTTGTGAGATTAAAGGTCTCTTGCACCCTTTTTCCAGGTGGGCTGTAATACACAGAGGTTTGTGGCTATTGTGGGAAGTCAGTGACAGAGCTGGGAATTATCTTGAGTCCTAATGTTCAAGTCAGAAATAAAAGAAGCCAACCTACCATTTATTCCTCAGGTGCAGTAGATCTTAAAATGTAATTCTGAGCTCTGAATTCTCCTGCAAAACCAAACAACTGGTAGGCTTAGCCCAAATCATGTTATTTTGGCATTTTTTTTAGGATCTAACTTAAGTTTTCAAAACAAAATTCAACTTGGGGTGGGGGGAACCCAAACAAATTATTTTTTTCTAAATTTTTGCAGCTTCCTGTTACCCCACCACAACACAGCTCTCTGTAAAACTCTGCACACTGTTTTATGTTTTTAAAGGTGAGAGCAAGCAGAGTCAGTACCAGAGTTGTAGGCATACACAAGATGCTTGCTGGAAAGGTGCACTTCTCAAAGTTCCTTCCCTCATGAATTCCAGAGCAAGAAAGCTCCTGCCTAAATCCTTTCATGTGTGCTCAATATTTTAGTTGTAGTATCTATTTCAGGTGTTCATTGTAGGTCTTGGAACAGGGGTATTTGCACAATTCACAGCAATTTCTCTCAATGGTTCAGTGGACTTTATACTTTGGCTAGTTTTAAAGTGTTGACTTCCCATTAATGTGTAATTTAAGGATTTGAGGACTCCATGGACACCTATGTATTGAACAGTTTTTTCTGCAGTTCTCACTCTGGGATATGCACATGCATATAGGAGAAATCCCTTTTATAAATAACTAACCTAAATAGAGATTCCTTTTCCTTTAGCTTTCTGCCAGGCAAAAGGCTTCACTGACTCTGTACTCTATCGGATTTTCCCTACTGATACACCAAGACAAACAAAATGGCTCTGGCTGGTCTGGAGCACTGGAGGTAGCTGCAGTTGCCTCAGATCTGAGGGTGACCTGCAAAGCCTTGCTCCTGGGGAGGATGCAGCAGAACAATGTCATCCTTGTTTGCACTCGGTGCCCAGAGTCTTTCCTTCCCCCTGTGCAGCACGTCCCCCACACAGGCTCACAAAGGGCCGTATTCATCAGTGAGCAGCAACTGGTTACATTCCTTTTGAAAGACAACAGGCTGTGCCAGCTCTACCAAGGCTTGTTTTACAGAGTTCATCCTTCCTTGCTCGTGCAAGCCCGGAGCTGTCTCTGCTGACTCCTGTACATGCAGATGGGTTTGAGGGTCTAAGGACCAACTGAGGTGGTTTCCATGGGGTGGGAAAGGACTC